TACACGAAGCATCTGCGATGGGGTCCCAACAGCAAGCAGCCCAAGAACAAAGGCCAATAATCATGACTCGGAGCTTGCAGAAGAGTGAATGTGGAGGGGAGACAATTGGTATGCAGCACTCACTCACATGCTATAGTCACAAATCCCTGCAAGAATTGCATCGTAAGCGAGGTCAAGATCTGCAGTGAACAGTATCTTGACATAAACGGGAGTCTGACCCCCGGCACATTTCACCTCCAAACTGCAAGTTGAGAGGCCGCGGCTGCAGTCCTGCGCTGTACTTGGGTATGGTCTGTTTAATCATGAAACGTGCAAACACAGTGGGACCCGCCGCCTGGGTTTCTCACAAACAAGGACATCTGGAGACCATTCCGCAACGAAGCCAGAAAGCTATCTTTGCAAACCTGAACTGGCTCTTCAACTTTTTGAATATGTACAATCATGTACAATCATACATATACCGTATACCAAAACACAACCAATTGCCAGTGGCCAAGTCGCAGTGCTTGGCCCACCACAGGTGTGAACACCTTGCCACAAACAGCGCATGGCATCGTCAGGACTAGACCCCCTCTGAACAGCCGGTTCCTGCTTATAAAATTAAGCCGAACCAGCCCTTTTGCCTTTTGGCCGGCTCCGCCCTCCTGCTACTTAATTCAGCAGGCACCTATTTAATTAAGTAAGGAAGCGGTTCGCTACTAGCAATACGAAGCTACTACATATGGACGCAGGATAGCCCACGCACGAATGATTTGGTTCCTAGTTTTTTTGGAAAACTTAACAGCCAAAAGCCCTGCCTGTGTAGGTGGTCTTGTCATAGAAGAAGCGTTCCGGACCCCTCCAAAGAGTGAATTCGTGGCCCGGGAATTACAAACGCAACTATAAAAAATGATAGTTCCAATCTTCTTCTAAATTCTGCTGGCGGTTCAATCATCTAGCACAAACAGCTGAATTCGATGTGTATATATTTTTTATCACAGACCTTGCTACGTTTGTAGTCATAGGTGCGTCAAGTATAAATAAGAAGAAAAAGCGTACTATACAAGCAGTTGACGGGCAAGCCGGTGACAGAAGTTTCCTATAAACACAATTTGACCTATAGGAGTGTCCCTTCGCACATGCCCTGCGGACGCCCTTTTTTTCCGGCCCGCAACGATGGCGTCATGCAAGCAGCCCACAACGGCGTATGAAGTTGCAAAACACAATGAAATTCCAGCGACAACTCATCCACCAGCAACACTTGCAG